AGTTCCTGTCAGTGTCTATCTATGGGTGGATCCATGGTTCTACTAGAACCCAGTCTCTGGTCACATCTCACCACCTGTTGAGGCTCTAACATCAGTAGAACCTGATGTGGTGAAGCTGGACCAGACAAGGTTCTGGTTTTTAGATGTTTAGACTACATGTTGATGTGGATCATTGGTAGGAACCAGAACCTGGTGTCATGCAATAGAACAGAATAGAAACACTTTATCGATGTTACGGTAACAAGAGAACCAGGAAGTCAGAGCTGAATGTGAAGCACAGAAGAAAACAATCCTAAAACCAGAACCTTGTCTGGTCCAGCTTCACCACATCAGGTTCTACTGATGTTAGAACCTCGACATGTGACCAGAGACTGGGTTCTAGTAGAACCATGAATCCATCCATAGACAGACACTGACAGGAACTTTCTGGATCAACACCAGCCTGGATTGAACATTTCTTTCAGTTTCAACGGCCAAAATGAAAAACACATCCTCTGTTGGATCCAATGAATGGTTCTGATCTGCTGGAAGCTTTCACGGCTTATTTCTGGAGAAGTGGCTTCACAGGTAAAAATATTTTACAGACTTTAGTTGTTCAGTGCAGCAACACGACTGAGTTTGTTATTTTCACGTTTGTTTGGTCCAAATCCTGACAGAATCCAAACAATGTGAACAGAGTAGGGACAATAAATCAGTGATGAAACCATCGTTCTCCAGCACGTTGACAGCAGAGCATGTGAAGAAAGACACGGATCTGATGAGATAACAACACGCTCAACTCCATCTAGCTGCTTTTTGTGTTTCTGTTCGTGATGCTTCACCTCTGAGCTGCGACTTTCCGATGCTGAACTCCTCATTCAGGCCGATTCGCATCTCTGTTGACAGGAAAGCAGCAAAGTCAGAATGTTTTCACATCAGGAGGCGTTTTGAATATTTTGACTGTCAGCAGACGTCTGGTTGTTCCACCGGTTCTCCCGTCAGGAACCGGAGCAGGTCTGGTTTTAATGAGGCACCTGGTTGTGGGCTGAACTCACCGGAGCAGTTGGGCAGGTAGCATTTAACTCTGATCTCTCCCTCGACGTCGGCCTTCATCAACATCCCCTGGAGCAAAACAAACACGTTCATCTCTCAGCAGAGTCCGTTCAGCGGTTCGGCCTACGTTACCCACAATGCACCTCCACCTCCAGCAGCTAACAGACAGACGGTTGGTTTCATTTTTAGGAGAGGAAACAACAATTCAGACTTAGATTCTGTGTGAATGTTTTGTGTTTTCCTTCGTCCTCTACGACAGTAAACTGAACGTCCTGCGCTTCAGGAAACACAGACGAGCGTTTTTCACCAAACATCGGATCGATTCCTCCAGAAAACAACCGTTACCTGCAGATCTGGTTCCTGAATGTCTTGTTCCAGCTCTTCTCATCAACAAACTCAAAACTAAGTGAAAAGACAAACTGCTGAATAAAGTTCAGCGACGGCTGTTTCACTGCAGTTGGATGGAAATCGACTAAATGTTGATTAAACTCAACGTATAATTAATTTGGACGACGATCTGTGACGCTGATGTGTCCGTGCTTGTTTGTTTGTTTGTTTGTTTGTTTGTAATAGAACCTCCTCTGTTTTTCAGGGGAATCAAACTTGTCCAGATGTTTTTACAGCCTGAAAACGGTTAATTACAATAAAGTGAATAAGACATGAAGGCAGCTTTCAGGAAATCTGGTTCCTGAACTCAGAACGTCTCGTCAGTCGATGCTACTCACGTTGGATCCGATGACGACCGACATCCTCTCGATCACGTCCACGAATATCTCGCTCTTCCCTCCCTGGAAAAAACAAACAACAAAACGTGCAGAAGCTGTGACTTTTTCTGGTAGATGAATCGTAGCAGCTGGACTTGCTTGAGTTCCTTGAAGACGTTCCATCTCTCATCCATCAGTTCTGACTGACTAGTTGCTATATAGTTGTAGATACTGACATCCTGAAGGGCATCAGTATCTGGAACTATATAGCCACTAGTCTGACTGACTAGTTGGGAGGAATAATCATGACCTGGATGACTGAGAATCTTCACAGACAGAAACTGTGACTGTTTGAGGAAGTCAGCTGGGATCAGACTATTTACTGGAACGTGTCGGAAACATTTGATGGTTCTCTTTGGTAGAAGCTGATCTAAGTGAAGGTTCACACGTCCAGCCAGCAGGACTTAGATCCACTGTCATCCTCTACGTGTCAGTGGCGGTTCTGGCCTCGGTTCTGCCGCTCACCTGCTCCCGGCTCGACTGGATCGGTCTGGTGGCTGCAGAACTCGGAGCCACTTTGCTCTGCTGAGTCTCTGCTCCAAACTGCAAACAAACGAACAAACAACAACACAAACAGAGTTAATCCAGACGAACAGCAGAATCCACAGAAACACGTTTAGACACGATAATAACGACAAACGTTTTAATCTGTAATAGTTCCTCACATGTTGTTCAAACAGATGTGAAAAAAAAAAAAAACCTGATGAAAGATGGTTGAGATCAGATGTTTTAAAAGGATCTCAGGAAATATTACACGTCACTGATTCCATTTTAAATATCCACAATTCAGGCAGAAACTACATTTTAAAACATTAAAAACTGCTGTATTTGAATGACTTGGTGATTTTCTGATATCTTAGAGTTGTAATATATATATATATATTTTCTTTTACAGTGTAGGACGTTAATATCTCGATTCACACGGAGGAAACCTTTAAGAAGAAGAACAGCAGGACAGTAAATGGTGTGTGTGGAGTTTCTGTACCAGTCCGACGTTGCTCAGGTCGAAGAGGCTGAACGGCCGCGAGGAAACGGCTTCGGTTTGGATGAAGTTCTTCAGGACGTCGGAGGAGGTCGTCTGGATGTAGCCGTAGTCCTGGAAGTCAGACAGACGGCGGTTAGAGCAGCACGGATACAAACTTCATACAGCTCAGCATCTCCATGCAGAGAAAAGACACTGAAGTCTTCTTGGTCATCTTCTCGTTTTCAGTCAATGCTGATAAAGTTGTTTTGTTTGTTGATGTTGCTGTTTAATTAAATGTGAATAAATGTTCGTTTCTCTCCTCGTCTGCTGTGTGAATACGAGCTTAAATCAGACTCTTCTGTCAGTTTAATGAAACAAAACTCGTCATGTTCATCGTTTCTTTACTGAAACTGTTTCTGGTTCAGTTCTATTAAAGTACAAACAGAACATCTTCTCTGAGATTTAAGTTTTCTCTAAATCTCCAGGTTTCCTCATTAAACTGAGAATGTGCCAGAAACAGAAGGTGATGCTGCCTCCTAGTGGACAAACTGAGCTCCTGCTTTCTTTATACATAATATTCCTGCTTCTCAGGACTTCACTTTGAACGTTGACTAACCTCCAGCTACAAGTGTGTCTATGGTTATATTTATTTCTTCTATTCCAGCTTTTCTTTGTTAAAAATGTTTAACTTTAATAACTGACAGGTTTTCATCGTTCTTCTCACGTAACGATGACGTGCACCGATTTGTAGAAACAAACCTGCTGACTGGAAGACAAACTCAACACAGAGATTTTAAAGGCCGCAGTTTTTTTTTTCTTGACTTTATTCTGAAAATCCTGTTTCCTGTTCTCAGAATCGGTCGACATGAGATTTATCTGCAGCTGCTGCAGTGATTAATTTGGTTCCAGCATCTGAAACACGAGGACGTGCTGCTTTTCCGTGTCCGATCGTAACTTGAACACAGCCGATCCTGTTTGGACGCCACGGCGCCACCTGGTGGAGGACGTCGGCGGGAGACTCACCACGACTTCGTCCAGCAGCTCGTAGATCAGAGCGAAGTTCATCTGCACCGACTTCTCCGACAGGCTGCCGCAGTAGTCTTTGACCAGAGCAGCGAACCTGAAACACAGAAAATCTGATCCTGAACGATTCTACAGGAAACAGAATTATTACAGGAAACAGAACCGTCGACGAGCTCCTGCAGAACCAACGTTCTTAATCACAGCTTTAAATCAGTCGTTAACATTCAGCTGCTTCTGTTTGTTTTATGTCGCGTTCCTTCACTGAGGTTCATGTTTAAAGTCCTGCAGCTCTGAGGAACCAGAACCACATGAAGGAGGAGGAGACAGAACTCAAAGATGATTCTGTCAGCAGGGCTCAAAATGCGTGGTTTTGGTTCTGGACCATTTTTGAGTCACTTTGGATGAATTTTGATTTAACGACATTGACGTTACGAGGTATTGTGCTGGCCAGATGTTCCACCATCAGCTGGATGTATCTCCACCAACTGGCTCCTCTGTTCTCTGGTTCTGATCCGTGCTGCATCTATTCATTGATCCAGCAGGTTGGATTCTCCTCTCAGTCTCTCTGAGGAAACACTGGCTGCAGTTCAACCTGAAACTCTCTGAATGTTTCAGGAGGAGGAAGGTTCTGTTTTTTTAAAGAATCTGACTCAAGCAAACCGTTTATTTTTGCAGAATTTTCAGATGAGACACGTAGAACAAAGTGATCTAATGAAACATTGCGATTTTAAGTTCTGGGACCACAGAACAGTTTCTGTTTCTACAGGTTCTGGCCGGTTTGGGGCTCAGAGGGTTGATGTCTGATGTGTGCTTTGTGGCTCAGTTGTACTTTATATTAAAATAATAATGACGTGAGGACAAACACTGACCTGTTGAGGAACTCGATGATGGTGAACGGCGACGACTCGGCTGCAGTCGTGGCGACCCAGTACAGTCCTCCCTGTCTGACGTGGACGAAGTGAAGATCTTTGTGGCTCTGCAGAGACGAAACACAGGACAGACGATGCCTTTAAGGTCCTGCTGTTACCGATGACCAACAGAGCTGCACCGACGTGTCCGTCAGACATCAGCAGAAAGTCTTTTTAAGCACATTTTACCATGACGACCGGAGGCTGGTCTCCGGTCAGCGCCGTGACCTTCTCATAGAAAGTACTGACGGCGTCACCGCCTGCTTCTCCTCGGACTGACGCTCAGGTCAAGGTTGACTTTCACACAGAGTGAATGAGCAGATTTATAGATGCTGTTTTCAGCTGTTGGGTCAGAAGGATACAGTCTTTATAGATGAGGTGGTCGCCCTTCGAGGACAAGATGAAGACCTGAGAGATCATCCTGCTGAGAAACAAACAGACGAAACGACAAGAGCCAGTTAATGCAAAGAAATAACCACAATACGACGGAGCCCTCTGCTGGGGATGTTTCATTTAGTCAGTGTCCATTAACGTCAACTAATTATTTTCACTCTTAAGATGTATATACATATAATTCAAAACGGAGCTAAAACCTGCTTTTAAAGGCAGAGAGACTTCCACCAAACTCCACTCAATATTCTGCTAATTTTAGATGTTATGACAAACAAACCTCCTAATCAATACCCAAACCCTTCGTAACGTCCTTACTTATGTCACACAAGTACATTTCGTAACTATGAAGCATTAAATCACAAAAAAGTTTATTTATTGTTCAGGCTCCAACTTTCACTAAAATGTTCCGCCCTAGCAGAGGACAGTAGCACCACATTACAACCAGCTGTACTCGTTAAAGTGTGACTGTTCTCATGCCGAATCTATTTATAAATCCAGATGAGTCGCAGACATACTTGAACGTGTAATAAAAATACACACGGGATTAGAAAACGACTAAAATCTCCTTAACTTGACCGAAACTCTCAGCGAGTTCAGCCTGCATAAGAAATAAAAATGACCTTTTAGCACTAATTTTATGAAGCTGACATTAATTCCAGTGACTTCTTTACTTACCTACAGAAGGCTTCTGGTGACGCAGAGAAAATATTAAACAATATTTAGTTTTTTGAGACAAAGCCATGAATGGTAGCTATAGCTTATTTAGCACTGCTAACGTTAGCATGGCTAACTGATGAAGCTAGCGCAGCATGTTTAGACTCGTAAGAATTCTCCGTCACAGCCGTTGGTTAGAACTGATCCACAATGAGCGAACCACACACATAGAAATGCTGAACTAAATAAATAAACGCTAAAATAACATATAAACCGTATGCTATACAGCTAGCTTCGTGACTGATAGGTCGGTGTTTACAAGCCGGGTCAGCAGCTAGCATTTAGCTTCACAGCGCCTCCTGCTGGTCGGCGGTGAATCTGCAGTTTTTTACCAAAATACTTCACGGTGAAGTATTTCTAAAAACGTACGAAGAACATTGTTCTTAAACTAACGCTACAGTTTTACATTAGAATGCGCTTTAAAATATATTTAAAACAACGACAGCGTGTTTGTAACCGAATCACAGCTTGCAGGCATCCGAACAGCAGGCGGCAGCACAGGCGGGAAATCAACCGGAAGTTAGCGACACTTCGCACCAGAGCATCGGCTTCCTCCTCTGGTTCATCATGAAGTGAGTAAACATTCTGTAATTAACCTATTAATTTGGAGCAACATCTGCTTTTCGGCCTTTGTTTATTTTTCCTTAAACTTCTGTCGGTGGTTGTTAGTGCACGCTAACCCGCTAGCTAGTGCTAACAGCTAGCTGCTGGTGGCTAACCATAGCCGCCTCTCCTCATACATTCTCACCAGCCAGACTCTGTTCAAAAAACGGACAATTTGACAATTTATCTTCATCGACAAGTCGATATATTAAATCAAACATACAGCTGAGTGGTTCCTGTAAATATTCCGGAGCTGTTCTTGAATTCGGCGTAAACCAAACCGCTCATATCTCCACTAAATCAAAGTTTATGGTTATGTTATGTTATGGCGCTCAACGGCCAAATTCTTTGCATTATTAGAAGTCAGCTAATTTATTGAAAGTTAAAATAAAACGCAACTTTGCAGAATTCATCTTTAGTCGTCCTGCAGTGTTGTACAAAACCTAAAGTTGTTGATAATCTGAACGGAGTCTGGTTGGTGTTTGTCCTCGCAGAGAGAAGCTGGAAAGTCCACAGCTCTGGATGTTACATCTGAGTCTGCAGCTAACCATCACCTCCACTGCCAGTTATTTTCTACATTCACTGATTAGTTGTTTGTCCCATAAAATGTCTAATTTATTTTTTAAAAACTGTCTGATTCACAGACCTCAAAAGGAGCCAAAGATTTTCACAGCTGACAGCAGAAAACATGCCTGTAGCTCATTTCTATTTCATATTGACCTTTTTTTCTATTCCATAATGCTTCTCTTACGTCTTTTCTCTTCATGTCTTGCTGCTGAAAAGTATTTCACGTCTATAAACTCTTGGCTTGTTGCTGTAAATGTGTCCTGACAGCAGTGGGTGAAGCCGCTTCATGCTTTCATTCTGTCTTCTCTGCTGCGTTTTCAGTCCGCTGACGAAGGTGAAGCTGATCAACGAGCTGAATGAACGTGAGGCTGACCTCGGGGTCAAAGAGTCCGTCTCCTGGCACAGCGAGTACAAAGACAGCGCCTGGATCTTCGTCGGTCAGCAGAGACAAGCGCCTTCAATCAGCCTGATGCATGAAATTAATGTCGTCACAGAGTTTAGAACTGAGGATGTTTGAAGCTCCTCTCAGCTACTTTAGCTCCTGTTTTTTATTAGTGTGGTCGACGGTAGCTTTAACTTTAAACTGGAGGTCATTTTGGACAAATGTTCATTCATATCTGACAAGTTAGGGCAGATTTCAGTTCGGTTTTCTGTCACTCTGGGCAAGTTTCAAGTTATTTTGGGCAAGTTTTTGTCATTTTCCCCAAATGTTAAGTGATTTTTTAATGTTTTCCCAGTTTGAAGTTGTTTTTTGTTGTGTTATTGCTGTTTTGGAGACATTTCGAGTCATTTCAGTCAAGTTTTTGTCATTTAAAACAGATTTCAGTTCAGTTTTTCATCACTCTGGACAAGTTTCAAGTTATTATTTTATTTATTTTTGAGTAATTTTTGACGATTTCCCCAGTTTGAGCAAATCTTGACTCGTTTCAGAGACGTTTGACGTCGTTTTTTTGTTGTGTTTTTACTATTTTGGACACATTTCCAGTTAAGTTTTGTTCTATTTCTGAGCACCTTTCAGAAACCCACGGTGTAGTTTTCTCGCTGTTGCACCGTGCAGGATGTATCGTCCAACAACTCGCTCCTCTGTTTAGCATTTTTGTTTAGTTTCTGTTTAGTTTTTTATAGAATGTGTTTTTAGAGAATTTTAAATGAGAATAAATCAAATGAATTATTAGATGATCAGATTACCTGTGAAACGTGTGACCTGCTCTTCACCTCACTTCCTGTGTGTCCAATCAGAACGTCTAACTCTGTGCATGTCGTCACCAACAGGAGGGTTTCCCTACGAGCTGACCGAAGGCGACCTGATCTGCGTCTTCTCTCAGTGCGTACCTGCTCGGCTCACCTGTCCTGCCGCCGCCGCCTCGTCCACTCAGAACTCACGTTTGTGTTTCCTCCGTCAGGTACGGAGAAATCGTCAACATCAACCTGGTGCGCGACAAGAAGACGGGGAAGTCCAAAGGGTTCTGCTTCGTGTGCTACGAGGACCAGCGCAGCACCATCCTGGCCGTGGACAACTTCAACGGCATCAAGGTGACGCTCAGACATGTTCGTGAGTCAGTGGCTGAAGTCATGCCCTTGTTCCCTCCACCCATCAGTCACCACTTTGTTTGGTGCTGTGATATTCTGCTTCCAGTAGACGTTATAATGTGAGTTATTTCTGTAAACGTTGTTATTTTCACTCCATAACGGGGGGATTTGTCTCGTGTCTGTTGTCATTTTGACAACAAGCCACACTTGTGACATATTTTCTGTAACACTATAAATTATGTGTTAACGCCATAAAACTCGTCTGGATCACGTCTGTGTTTGTGTTTTCCACAGTGATGATCAAACTGAGAGACTTTCAAACTGTTTGTTTTGGGGTTTTTTCAGACTAAAATCTTCACATGTAAGAATCCACAACCAGCAACTATTTGACTTTTTTGCTTGAAGATATTTGCTGTTTAATTAGTTTCCGTCTGATGAGGTTACTGATTAGTTGCGTTTGTGTCGGTTTCTGAACCTGCAGCAGTTAAAGACGTTCTCTGGTTCCGTTTGGGTTCTTTCAGATCAAAGGCCGGACGATCCGAGTGGACCACGTTAAGGACTACCGTCCCCCCAAAGACTCCGAGGACATCGACGACATCACCAAGCGCCTCAGGGAGGACGGCTGCGCTCCCAAAGCTCCAGAACCGTCTTCATCCTCAGAGGAAGACGAGCTGTACGACGTTCCTGTGAAGAAGCCAAAGAAAGGTGAGTTCTGACTTCAGAACTAACTGGACTCCTTGGTTCGGTTCTTTAAGATGTTCCACCTTCATCCAAAAGGATTCAGCAGCTCTACAACTGAAGCTCAGCTTTAGGTAGCCTTTAGCTTCTATAGTTGTATAGCGCAAGCCTTGAATTTATATATTACTTTTAGTTCTAGAACGGAAGCCTTCAGCTTTAGGTAGCCTTTAGCTTCTGTAGTTGTATAGCACAAGCCTTTTTGTGCATTACCTTTAGCAAGCTAAACTGAAGCCTTTAGTTTCATGTCTCCTTTAGCTTCTTTGGTTCTGGAACTGAAGGCTTTAGCTTTAGGTAGCCTTTAGCTTCTTCAGTTTAGCTTCTAACATAGTAAACTGAAGCTTAGCTTTAGGTAGACTTAAGCCTGAAGGCAGGCTAAAGATTTAGCTAACCATTATCATGCATTTAGTGTCTTCAGGTCTACAACTGAAGACTCGTAGGTGAAGGTGAAACGTGTCGAACCTACAAGAGACGTCCAGTTACTTCTGACTTTGTCTGTAACCGACGTCACAGAAGCTGGTTTTTATTGCTGCTCTCGTTGCTCTTTGTCGCAGACAAGAAAGAGAAGAAGAAGAAGAAGAAAGAGAAGAAGGAGAAGAAGAAGGCCGAGAAGGAGAAGAGGAGCAGAGCAGCATCTTCATCACCTCCTTCTGCCGCCGTCAGAGTCAAACAGGAGAAAGAAGACGCCGCCTACGACAAGTACAACCAGAGGGGGGCGCCACCGCCGGGAGGACAGCAGAACGGACAGAGAGCCAGAGAAGAAGAAGAGCGCCGGAGGAACAGAGACAGAGAAGAAGAACGGAGACGAGATGACAGAAGAGACGACAGGAGACGAGAGACGGACAGAGAAAGAGACGATAGAAGAAGAACGTCGGACAGAGACGAGGACAGAAGACGAGATAGAAGATAGAAAACCAGAGAAGAGACTCTAAACTCTGGAACAGTTCATTATCTGTAAACTCCATCAGGACTGAAGGACACAAAACGACAACATGCTGTGACCTGTGGGCACCAAGACGCTGCTTCACAACACTTGTTTTTACACATTTGATCAAGAATCGGATCATATTTCACTGTCGGCTCTAAATCCTGAACCACACGTCATCCCTGCCTGGTTTGTGTTTTCGTTGGATAAACACGTTCGTTTGTCACTAAATTCACTCTGAGTTATGGAAACGTCCTTCAGGAGGAACAATAATGATGGTGTTCAACATAAATACATGTTCATGAATCATCCGAGGAGCTAATCAGTAAATAAGAGCTGAAACCAACACACGTTATTCTGCTTTTTATTTGAATTTCAGCTTTTATTCAATGATTAGTTTCTTGATGAGGATTTTGTTCAGGATCTTTACAGGATTTATTTTTTCTTGATGTGTATTTTGCTGAATTTAGCATCAGAATATGTGTGATGGAGGATTTAAAGTTTGTACTGTTTAAATGACTTTTCTAATAAAACGTCTTCTGGCGTATTAGACGTAGTTTTAAAGGTTTATTTCGCCCAAACCTGTACGTCGTGTGTTTTATTTTTATTTATTGCTGGTGTCTGAAGACTAGAGAAGCTCCTTGTTGAAGAAAACAAGTCGTCTTGTTAAGAAAATGGTTTATTATCAATCTACAGACGAGGCCTTAAACCTGCATTCTGTCTGACGGCCAGCAGGGGGCGACTCGTGTTCTACAGGAATCTATAAGGAAATGATTCAACTTCTCTCTTCATCTGTGACCTCAGGAGAGATTCTCCAGCAGTGTTTCTGGTCTCAATCATTAGTTTAAATCCTACTTTAATGAATAATGCTGTTTATTTGGTAAATTATGGTCCAGTCTAGCGGAAAACAGACGATAAATTGGGATGTTTCAGTGCTCGGGTTTAATAAAACAGATCGAACAGGCCAAAATCCAAACAGAGTAAACAGGTTTTGGTGTAAAACTGAAAAATGCCAACAAAAAAAACCCAAAATATGAAGTTTACAATCATGGAAGAAACCAGGAAACCAGGAGTTTGGGGCGTTTCCAGACCGACTTTGAAACAGAAGCTGAGCAGAATTTAAGGCAGAAAAAACAGAAACGGAGACGAACTTTAACAAACTGCACCCATTTATTACAGAAACATGACGGAACCGAGTGAGAACAAGAACGACAGCCTCTGACAGAACTCTGTTTGGTTTGAGGTTTTTGAGCTTCCTGGTTTGTCTGGACGACTGTAGATCCGTGGCGGCTCAAACGGCCAACGTTAGAAAAGTTACCCTGAAAATCTGTACGGTCGCAAACAAACGTCCACAAAACAGAGCAGAAGGAATAAATCTGGCAGAGTTTGTTTTGCTTTTTTCAGAAAATATACCGTCGCTTTAAATGAAAGTATGTGAAAACGTTTCGTAGAAAGTGGGAGCTGACCGTTGCACAGTGAAATCTGGTTCTGCATATTATTCACACGACAAACCAACACGTCTGGTTTCTGCTGAAAACTTTTTCCAAACACAAAGACTGAGACGGTTCGTCTGACCTCCTGTGACCTGAAGGTTTCATGTTGAAGCCGTAAAAACGAATATTCATCACTGCGGTGAGCAAACATGTCGACACAGAACTTAAAAACATTTTAACCCTCTGAGCCGAAAACAAGCAAAAATCAACAGAATGACAAACATCTGAGCTTCATTCTCGTGTTTAAAAAAACTGCCAGAAAAAAACCGTTTGATATGATTCAGTAAAACCAACAGACGGGATGAAGGTTCAGAGTTCTGGTCGAGCTGCAGCCCAGAAGGAAACGCAATAAAAACAGTTAAACGTCTGTAATGCTGATAAAAGCTCAGACGCGATGACGCCACGTTTCTTCCGTTTGTTTTGTAAAATAAATCTAAAACTGCTGCCCAGAGTCAGAAAACCTGGTTCACCTGCTGGTCCTGGTCCCTGTAGCGTCCGTACTCCTGGGATTTGATCAGATTCACCTGCAGCTGCGTCAAACTCAAAATGTTTGAACAGATTTAACGTTTGTCAGCCTGCTAATGATCCGATTCCTTCAGTGTCATCGTTTGCAGCTGTTTTGGTTCGTGTCGTCTCCACCGGTCAGACTAACTCCTGCCTCTCGGCGTCTCTCGGGTCCTGGTCGGGTTACCTGTGCAGGTAACGGCGGCGTTCTGACCCCGATCAGCTGTTCTCGTGCAACGCTATCCAGGTTTCCGTCACAGGACTCCGGCCGGCAGCTTCGGGTTTCTCCGAGTCGGGACGCGACGCACAAACACACGGAGACGGTTAAAGACCTGATCAGAGGCGGGACACTCGTGTCCAGGTGAGCTCACCTGTGGAGGACGAGGGGCGGAGCTTCCTCTGCGTTCACACGGTAAAGGATGGAACCGTCAGACAGACGAGGTGTTCTGTGTTTCCTGTCCTCAGAGCGTCCGTGAACGAAATAAAAAGACTGAAACTATTTCATTCAGGATAAATCTTACTTCAGGGTTCGGGCTACGTCTTTCTGTTTTAACGACTGATTTTAATTTGATCGTTTTAACAACAGAACGTTTTAATTTAACCCTCTGAGCCCCGAAAACAGCCTCAAAGTGGCACCATGTATGATCCAGAAGCTGTAAGAAGTTAAAGGTTTATTTATAAATCATCAGGTTTTGTTGTTTTGTTCTGAGATGTTGAACCTGAGCTCAAAATTCTGACATTTCATCAAATGACAGAAAATTTATGTAAAAATTCATAAATTGAACGTTTCAGAGGATTTAAACAAACTCTGATGTTATGAAACTTGTCCAGATTAGAAATCAGCCAAAAACAAACCAGATTCTGTAAAAACTAGAAACTCAGACGTAAACATGAAGCGCTGATCGATTCCTGGGTTCCTCTGTTGACGAGCGCTGAACCTGGAAGCTAACTAAAATGTTGAATATCTACAGTTTGTTTATTTTCCAGCTGGGAAAACGCTGCCGGCTTATTTTATGTCCTGATCATAATCACGTAGTTTTTAAAGGGATGCACGACACGTCGACCACATCGGTACCGGTCCGATGAACACAGTCAGCGCTGAGCTCAGAGGGTCAAAGCTGCTGATTCTGTTTTAAACCTTTCATCTGGTTCTTTGGGTTCCTGTCAGTTCTTTTTTTGTGTGTGTTTCCGAACGCAGAGGAAACTCGGCTGAGGACTCGGCGGTTCGTACAGACGGCGGTCGGAGGTTCTTCCTGCTCGGCTGCTGCAGCTCGGCGACGTCGTGTCGCCCTGAACGTCCAGCAGCCGAGCCGGAGGTCGGCGGTACAAGTTAAGGCTCTGGCGGCTCAACGGGCTGCAGGGTTCTTCTGCCTCCTGCTTCTATCTGAAGGAGGTTCTGAGGATCGGCGGCTCGGTCCGAGTCCATGTTCACATCGTTCCACCAGCAGCTCATTAAAGGTAGAGAACAGAACTGATCGATCTGCCGATTATTTCTGATCAAATCGAGTCTTTGTTTTGCTGACAAAGCGTCTCATCGGTCTTCACTTACTGCCACATGAGATGCAGAAGAAGAAGAACATCAAGTCCTCGTCTCGCTGCTTTAATGTTTTCTGATGTGACTTTGCTGCAACGGTTCTTAAGCTGGACCTGCAGCGATTATTTAACTTAGTCGTCAGCTATGTTAATAATCAATGAACCGGTTATTTGTCCGTCTGAACGCTGTGGTTTCAGCTCCGTCCCTGAATGTCGTCTCGTTTCTTTCCTCTGACGGAACATCTTTGGGTTTCTCATGTTCTTCCAGCAGCTCGTCGATAATTCATCAGAAATAATCTGCAGAACCTGTTCTGAAACAAACTTGGTCCAAAGTCAAACAGGAGGTTTCTTGGCGCCGAGTCGATGTTCTGCTGGTGAACGTGTGACCTGGTCCAAGCCTGACCAGTTGGTCCCAGTCTGACCAGTTGGTCCCAGTCAAGCTGCTGTGGATCCTCTGAGGAGGAAACAAAGTCTTCAGCTTTTTCCTGACAGACAGTCGGGACCTGAACGCCTCCTGCGGGGTCTCGGCTCCCCTGCGAGGCGTTCGCTGCCCGGCGGAGGACTCGGCGCCTCCTGCGTCCTGCGTCGGGTCTCTGGGCTCCGTCAGCACATGGAGATGGTGACGTTGATGCCCAGGTTGCCGTTGTCGGCGAACAGGTGGGCGATGGACGTGTCGAACACCAGGCAGTCGCTGTTCATGATGGCGGCCGCCACGCCGTCGTGGATGGAGCGCGGCGTCGCCTCCCAGGTCAGCCGGCGCCGGTTCCCGTTGAGCTCCAGCCGGTAGGCGAAGTTCTCGGCCTGCTTGCGGGTCCCGATGAGCAGCACGACGGCGAAGAACTGCTGGTGGCCCTCGTACTTCTCCTGCTTCTCCAGAACCAGCATGAAGTGGTGGCTGAAGCACGACTGCATCATCACCCAGTCGACGGCGCCCGGCAGGTTGATGTCCGTCGCCAGGAACACGATGTCTTCGCCCTGCAGAGGAACCAAACGCTCAGCAACAGCAAGTCTGACTGGAATGACTTCTGACCGTCAGATTATCCTTAAAAAACACAAACGTTTGTCCAGAATGACCTGAAACGTTTCCACAGTGACTCAAACTGGTTCAAAAAAGTCCAGACTTTGACAAAACGTTCTCACAACATGACTAAAGATGGACGTGAGTCGTCTTTCAGCGTCGCCATCGTCCACAGACGAGGAAGCTGAGACTCACAACCAAACGTCTTTCTGCAGCTGAAGCAGTTAAACATCTACCTACAGCCGTCCTCAGATGTGTTCACAGCCTCCCATTAAAGGAGGAAAACAAACAGCTTCAGTCACTGGAACAAGCTGAAACTGACAGAAGTCATGATAAATAAAAATCTTATGATCATCGTGACGTGTGGATTCGACCTTTTCTTTAATGGAACTCTATGAACACATCTGAGGACGGCTGGATGTTGGTCAACCTGTGGAACCTTTTTTATTTAAATTTTTGCCAAACAAATAAACCATCGTCTGTATGTTCGGACCTCCAGAACCTCCCGTGCGGCCCGTCCTACCTGCAGCGTGGTGATGGACTTGTGGGCGTGCATCAGGTGTGGCATCACGGCCTCCAGGGAGCCGTGCCACTTGCAGGTGGCTCCGGGACACGGGCAGGTGTACGGCCTGAACTCACACACCTCCTCGTGGTCGGGCTTCTCGCTGTGGTGCAGCGACAGGAGGCAGCCGGCCGACGAGTACTGCAGAACCAAACCACAGCCAGGTGAGATGAGGTTTACGTTCAGATCAGAAAATAAACACTTAAAACTGACAAATTCCCTCGTTTTGGTGATTTGTTCATGAAGACTCGACGCCCTTCGAGTCCAGCGGCAGGTTCTGGGATTCAGAGAGTTTAAATTTGCATCACGTTGGGACGGAAACCGATTGAACAGGTAATTATTAACCCGTCAGCTCTGCAGTGAATGTGACATTTAAAGAACAAACCCGTGTTCTGAGGATGATTCGGGTCGAAGCGTCCAATCAGCAGGCGTCTCATGTTTATGGATGGAGGACGTTCAAACAGCATCGCTAACGGGGCGTCTGCTGCCTCCCCCTCCACCGCCGCTGTGGCTGCTTTGTTGTCGGAGATAAAAGGAGGCACGGAGGAGGCATCATCACCGTGACCTTCAGAGGTTCAAGGAGAAACTCTGAGCCGGTTCTGTCTGGATTTATCCACTGAAACAGCCTCCGTCCCTCTGAAGCTAAATGTAAACCAGCAGCGGTTGGTTCTGGATTCAAGCCGTTACTTCCACCTGAACACGTTTCACTGAGTCTGACAGAAACATGACATACGTGTCACTTTACGCCTCTTTGTGTTTATGTTTCACATTTTGGTCATTTTGTGTCTGATTTAGTCTCTTTTCATGGAGGCATACATGAAATATTAAAATTTTAGGCTAAGCTCTGTAAACAACACGACTGAAGAGTCTTATTTACATTAGTCAGGTTCAGCATCGTAGGCAGTAACACTGTAGAGTCTCAGATTTAAATTGAAATTAATTAGGCCAAGCTCCATAACGAAGAACACTGTAGAGATGTGACCTGATGTTAAATGACTCAGGCTAAGCTCCATAAACAACACGACTGTAGAGTTTTGGCTGTGTGTTTACATCAGTCAGGTTGCGCATCATAATCGATATAGAGTCTTAGTTTTAAATTGAAATTTATTAGGCCAAGCTCCAGAACAAAGACTTAGCCTTAATATCCAAATCAACTCAGTTAATGTCCATAAAAGATTGAAAGTCTTAGTTTTAAATTGAAACAGGTTAAGCTCCATGACGAAGAACACTGTCGAGACGTAACCTTATATTAAATCAGTCAGGCTAAGCTACACGGTGAAGCCTTAATATGCTTTATAATCCGGTGAAGTGATGTTTTCTACAGTTTAAACTTTGCTCCGTCATAAACGAGACCACATGGTCCCGGTCCCAATATTCACACCGTTATGTGTCATCAGTCAGGCTCAGCGGCCGTCGTTTTAAACGTTCTTAACGAGTTTCCCTGATAACAACAGACCTGAACCACGTCAGCGGCACATTAACACGTTCTATTGGTCAGAATATGTCGCTGATAAAACCGAGATCAGCGGCGTTCGCTGTGAACTCATTAAATATTCATGATCAGGGCAGCAGACCAACGAGGCGACCGGTTCCACCTGCAAACACCAAAGACCGACGAAGCCAACACCAACAAACAGCATCCTCCATAAATGCATACGTCAGAGTTCATCTGGAAGGAACGACGACGGAGGCGTTCTCTGGTTCCATCTCAAACCGTCAGACTTTGAGTTTTTGTTTTGTAAGTTTTAGTTAAACACTTTATTTCCAGCAGGTTTTATTCTCACGTCGACATTCGAGGCCGTTTAAACGACACCTCAGGAAATATTAACGACAAAAACCTGAGATTTAACTTCTCATCAAGTCGAGTCGATGAATAATGTGATTGTTGTGATGACGGGAGGTCGAGAAAAGTCTGGAAACCTGCAAAACATCTGGTCGGTTTTTAAAACATTCAGGATTTTCAGTCATTTTGGACGTTTTGTGTTTTATTTAAGAATGAAAAAACACAACAAACAGCATTTAAGGCAGATTTTAAATCACTTCTGACGTTAACTTGTCATTTTGAACATTTAATTTGTTCATTTAGACCGTTTTTCATTCACTCTGGATCATTTTTAACAAACTCGAGGTCATCCTGGACACAGTTTTGTCATTTATCTTTGCAGGTCTTTATTAATATTCTGGACGAGCTTTAAGTCGTTATTTTCTGTCAGACCTGCAGAAACCCAATAAGCACTTTATTTATTGTACATTCTGCTGTTTGGCTTTTTCATTTCATTAGATTTTAGGTCTACGAGCGTAAAGTTGACATCAGAGGCAGTTATTCTCTCAACAGAAAGCTCGTTATGTGTTCGATGCTGATCAGCGGCTCATCGGCCGCCAACAAACACAAAGCTGCTGCCTTTGGTCCTCCAGCCGATAGACTCATTATATATAAAACATACTGCTGATGTCAAACCTTCTGCCGGCCACGTCTGACCCGATAATCAGAACCACCAGCTCCAGAGAGTCCAAACATGTCACTGATCACAACCTTCATCTGAGATGCGAGTGGACGAGTCAGCGTTGGATCTCTGAACGTTTTTTTATTCGTGTCTTTGTCTCACGTCGGCTTCTTGGTTAAACATGAAACTACATTTTTAAAAAAGGATCAAAGAGGAAAAGGTGAAAAAAACACATTCATTCACTTCTCAGCTAAATGCAGCGTTTCAAGCGGCCGTCTGCTACAGAACACCCTGAAGCAGCCTGAAATATGAAGCCGTCCTTCAGGTCCATCAGAGAAAATCCCTGCAGAGCTGCATCAACACGATCAATAGCAATCAGGCTAACAGCGGCGAGAGGCCGAGCAGTAAACCAGTTAGAGGCCAAACCTCCATCCAGCTTCGATTCAGGCTTTAACTGGTCGGGTTGATTTAGAGCCACGACGGAATGAAGACAAAGAAGTCAGGAGAGTTCAACTGGTCCAGTAGCTCAACTGAGATGATCTCGTTTGTTTTACCACAAAAAAGGCAAATATTTGGTGAGGAAGGAAACACAAAAGGAATACGAGCAGCTGAGACGATGAAACTGGATCCACAGATTGTGTCATTCTGAAGGTTTATCGAACACCAAACACCACCCAGAGGTTAGAAACACTCAGAAACAGACTCTGAGCTACGATGGAGGTGAAACAAACGCTGATGGAACATTTCACCACACAAACGCCTACAAACACCTG